TTGAACCCGGGTCGCGCGGGTGAGAGCCGCGTATCCTAACCACCTAGACTACGACGGATGACCAATAGGTCTGCATCCGAAACCGCATAGAAGCACTGGTCGCTCGTTTGCAGCCCGCGCTCAAATTTACTGCGGTCACTCGGTTGCAGAGACGAACCGTTCAACACTTTCTCCAGGGTCTCTTAATGCAGCCCCCTGCTGCCAATTCTACGGTAGAGAGTACAGCTTGATCGGACAGGAGCAGAGAACCCACCAGCAACTCACGCAGAAGGGCGGTGGTTGACGAGGTTTGTTGGCTTGCCGTCGTTCATACTGCGTCGAATGCACCGGATCCTATCTGAACTTTGAAGTTAGGAGTGGAAAGGCCCGGTTAGTAATGCGGTTGGGGACTCTGCGGGAATCCGTTTGGGTGATGATGGCCTCTTTGACTTTGTATTTGCACAGCTTTCATGCACACATTTTTTGTATGCTCCGCTTCTTCCTCCACCAGCCTCATCTCTTCACGCACGTTCGCCACAACTAGCTACGCTTATATATACAAAGCGTTCACTTGGACAAACGCATGCACACACACACGCACACGCACACGCATACACTCCACTCTTCAACACACAGACTTCTGAACGTCCCATGATCAATACTCCCCTCCTCTACTCTCAACATTCCTTTTTATGTGCATATTCCGGGAGCCAGGCTGCGCCACTTCAAACCCTTAAAGTCCAAAGTGCCGGTTCCTTCTCCAGGCGCTCACACGCATCCAAGTGGCGCTAATCTAGCATCATCATTACTTTTGCTCTTTTGATGAGACTATTCTTCGCTGATGCCATGCTCCTGTGAAAGCACCTTTTTCTTCTCCTGTGCAATGACGCCTAAGGATCCGTAGACTAGTGTCTCCACGGTCTTCCGATAGTCCCGCTTTCCATAGTGTGTCTTGAAGATTTGGTACTTCTCTTCTTTGTCGATGCGGACTGTGCCAAGTGAGTTCTTCTTGTAGTCCTCGTAGGCAACAGCCATATATGCTTTTGTCATTGTCTTGCGTTTTTCGTCTCTCAGGATGATATCTGGCCTGGATAATGTCTTCATCTCTTCTTGGCAGTTATCAGTCTTGACTGACTTCCTCCCATTGACAAGCTATTCTTGATAGCCCTTGTGATACTTTCCAGTGCCGTGTTATTCCTGGTCCTTATTCTGCATTCTAGGCTGTGTGGGCATGAGCGATTGTTTCAGTGTCAGCCGTGTAGTGGAGGCAGCGTGAAACCCTTGAGATTTGAACGATCTCGATGTATGCTCTTGTTTCAAGCTGTGAAGCTGGTGCTCGTATTGCGAACTTCACTTCCACTGGCTCCAGGGGCGGGGGTCCCTTATGGACAGCATTGCTACTTTCTGTCTGGTAGGCCACGGATTTCCCTTGATCTCCCATTTCCCTCCGCATATCTCGCTGCCACCCTGTCATATGCCGCTTGAGGTTCTTCTGGTCTAAGTAGGAACCTTCTGTTTTCTGAACAATATACAAGCTGCCATCACTCTCAGTCTCGATTTGAGCCGTGCTCACTGATGTTTTTCCCGAAAGGTCTGACCACAAGCTTCTTATATGCACTTTCTTGCCTCTCCTCTTAAGACATCCAATATCGCGTCTGTTGATATAGGCAAGAATAGCCTCTCGATCGTTTGCACCATTCTCTACGAATGCCCGGTTGATGGCCTCAAGCAACTAAGCTTCTGCCACCGTTCGTTTCATGCTATCCGTGCTGTTAAGCATCTGGATAGTATGCCCAATTCGTGTTGCTGTTGGGACCGTGTGTATGGGCATCCCTCCACTCGAAATGGGTTGATGGAACACGTCGGTTGTTATGTCCTTCCCTGAACGGCACGTAGATGACGACCAAACACGACCAATTTTTTTAAGGGTAGCAATGCCTCAGGTGATAGTCCAGCCGCGACATCACAAAAGTGCGCATCGCATCCAACTTCTCACAGGGAAAGAGCTCTGATCTGAGGCGCCTAATGATACCCTTCCTTGTCTTGCTAGTGAGGCGAAGGATTTGGCTTTGTTGCACTGTAGTCCCTAGTGCATCTTTGAACTCCTGGTACTTGTACGTCTCTCCCACCCTCACCACGGG